GTGCAAGCACGCGCACACACACACACAGACACGGCTTTATTTACATGCCTGTTGCCAAGCCATGATTCACTCACTGCAGTTCTCAATCCTACCACAGAGCGTCAGTGTTTTGTCCACTGTTCTTATGCTTGTTTCAACTGTATGATTCACACTTGAACAGCATCCAGGGAAAAAAATTAGTCCTCTTCTAATTTAAGGTCTCTTCCCTTGTGAGAGCTACAGTGTTTAGTATTCATGTCATATTTTATCATTACATATATTATTAGATTCGAAGCTTAATTGGGAAAAATGCAAGATGAATTGGTTGAAAATGTTTAAACCACATGAAGTGATTCAGAAAGAACTAGAAAGAGCTGAAATGAAGGGTGTGTCATGTGTATCTGCGTTTAGGAATAATATTGGTGGTGTCTGTCTGAGTGGATCAGCTGACTCAGCTCAAAATGGCGCTGTGTTAGTATTTTAATATATTGTTGATACATAAATAGTTTTTCAGTCCTAAATCCTGTCTCTAAGTGCAATGCCAAATACTTTTTTTTTTTAAAGGCAGCTACATATTTTCATGTATAAGACCCATTTTAGATTTAAATGGGTATACTATACCAAAAAGTTTTAGCATTTGGAAAATATTTAGTTTCTATTAAAATGCATAATTTTTTTTGTTCTACTCACTATAGTGCTGTACTGTTAGATATATTTATTTTATCCATTTCATCATTTCTTTTGTTTACTTGTCTATTTTAATCTAATTTGTATTATTTAATTATTTTAAATAAAATATTATTATTGATTCATTTTAATATAATTACATATTTATTTTCATTTTTAAGTAAAATAACTATTAAATAAAAATGTTATCATATTCATTAAAGGGGTCATATGATGCTATTTTAAAGATCATTATTTTGTGTATTTGGTGTAACAGAATATGTTGACATGCTTTAATGTTCAAAAAACACATTATTTTTCAAATACTGTACATTATTGTAGGTCCTCTACACACACACACACACACACGACGCGTTACCCTGCGCTGCGCAAAACTCCGCATTTGAACAGTCAATAGCAAATACTTAAACTAATAACAAAACATTACAGACTTACAGTCCCTGATTCAGAAGCGCCAGATTGTCATAGCAAAGTCAGAATTGACCCTTTGTTTTTCTTTTTTTTTTAGAAATAGCCTTTGTGCACAGCCAGCCTTGTACTCTTCTAGGTTCAAAAAACCTTGTATTCTTCTAGTTAGAACGAGCCGTTTTAGGTAGACATGGTTGACTCTTAACTTTTGTAAAGAATATCTCTTTGGATTTGAGACTTTAGTCTTTGCAACTTTACAGATCTTCTTTATGCACCAAGAGCTTGTAACACTCCAAAGAGAAAGGAAAACTTGAAATCACATCATATGACCGCTTTAACTTATCTTTTTTTTTATTATTTAGTAATTTTTACACCGTTTTTTTCTCTCTAAACTTTTCCACAGAAAGTTTAGCACTCTCTTTTGAAAACCCTGCACTAGAGTACCTCTTCCTGAGCTCCTCTTTAGTGTCAGGAAAAGTTGTCCTGGCCTGTGTCTTTGGAGGTTGCGGGTCAGATGTGCTGGATGTTCGAGTATGCTGACCTGCAAGGTTACAGAAAAATTTACCTGCATTACAAATTAAATATCTCACTAATTGCATCTCTCACAATAGGCATATAAACTGCAAACATTTATGAAAATATTGTGTCATACCTAGGTTTTCTTTATTGTTGACAGGCGGTCTTGGATCCGCACTGGCATTCCTCATGCGCTGTAGGACGTCTTCAGACAGCTAAGGACAAAAAAAACAGTGGAGAAGTTACACAAATGTCCTCAACAAGCCCATAAAATTCTTCCCACCATTGGGAACCAGTAAATACACACTCAATATAACAAGAAATATATACACATAGAAACGATAAAGCTTAATCATTCCTTCTGGAACAGCCTTGCAGATTTGTAAACACACAAATTTTAATAATGAAGAATAACTTGTTTCAGTTGACACTCAACAAAAAGGTCTTACTTGTCCTCACCTACTGACCTAATGGGCAGTAGGCAGTCGTGGCCTAATGATTAGAGAATCAGACGGGTTCGAGTCAGGGATTGTAGGTGGGGGAAGTGAATGACCAGCACTCTCTTCCACCCTCAATACCAGGACTGAGGTGAGACCCTTGAGCAAGGCAGGGAGCCCCCAACTGCTCCCTGAGCGCTGCAGCAAAAATATGTGTGGGGGTGTGTGCACTTGGATGGGATAAATGCAGAGCACAAATTCCGTGTATGGGACACCATACTTGGCTACATGAGCCACTGAACGAATCTTTAAGTGACCGAATTAAAAAAAAGATTCGAGTCACTCGAAGAATCAAACTCTCCAGTCTGTAGTCAACTGTCTTTATAAAGAGTATTGCAAGATTACCACGCTTAACGTCCCGACAGGACTATACACCTGCTCTTGGTTTCAATTACATTTCTGCACACCTGAGGAGCCACTATATTAGCAAGGACTCGACTGTCATAAACCAGAGTCCGTCTGTCAATCATGTGCGAAAAAACTCCTACATATCCATGTGTTTGTGAGATGACAGACATCCGAAACAACACTGTGCCCAAAAAAAACAAAAAAAATCGTATAGTGAACCAGAATGACTGGTAGGTAGTAAATATGGGATGTTGGATTACCTTCACTCCACGCAGAATCCTCACCCTGTCATCCTCATCTAGGCCGAAAGAAACTCTCCTAGGCGTGCTTTCTCCGGATCCCATTGCTTTTTTTGCTACAGCTCCCTTAACGGATCTTTAATAAAATATAGATTTTTTATTCTTTTATTGAAAAGAACACAAATTATTCCTTAAACATGCAGATATGTTTGACAGATTTGCACCTTACCTTTAGGAAGTGGCAGTTTGTAAGGGGCAGTATCCTGAAACATTATTGGCCAACGACAGTGCAATAAGCCAATAGAATTTCAGGATATATATCGGCGAATGGAGTAAAGGCTTCTGGGAGTTGCAGTCAATAAGCCGTACTTTTCATTAGCCCCTAATTCAGTCAGTGCTCATTTAATTTTAATGGTTTAGTGAACTTTATATTTCATATGGTTTTGTTTATTTGTAGTGTTTTAAATTACGAACTGCAATGTTTATTATCTCTATCCATAAAAAACATGAACTGTGAAAACTAGAGGTGTAAAGTTATCCAATAAATATTGAGTTGTATGACTGAGCTTCAGTTATTTAAAATGACTTCCAAATACCTCCAACTAAGTATTGTTCACAAAGTGACTCTGGATGAATCTCTCATAAACAGTAACTAGATAAAACATCATTTGATTCTTGGTGTAATACAATGTCGACCAAAAAACATTTTGTAGCAACTCCAATCTTTTTTTTTTTCAACTCTGTACAGGTGAAAATGCATTGTTTTTATCACAATATTAACTGCTTTAAACTCAATTTTGTAGATATATGAAATAAATAAGCTTTTTAAAACAAAAATCTGCTTGTACTCAGATAATTAATTTGGTATATTGTTGATTCCTGTACAACAAATTGCTCCTAATTTTTAAGTCGCTTCAAATACAAGTGAGCAACTTTTACTATCATTACTGAACATGAGATATTAGCCTCTTAACAACCCATAACTTAATATTTAAAGCATTCAACAAATGCATGACACAAAATATATGGCAGAGTCTTAACTTTGATAAAGAATATCTCTTTGGTTTTGAGACTTTAGTCTTTGCCACTTCAGGGATCTTATCTATGCACAATCAGCTTGTAACACTCCAAAGAGAAAGGAGAACTTGAAATCGCATCATATGACCCCTTTAACTCGTCCCGTTCAATGAAGGAAATTAACCTGACGGCAGATTCACGCAAAAAAGTCCCCAAAAAAAACAAAAAAAATCGTATAGTGAACCAGAATGACTGGTAGGTAGTAAATATAGGATGTTGGATTACCTTCACTCCACGCAGAATCCTCACCCTGTCATCCTCATCTAGGCCGAAAGAAACTCTCCTAGGCGTGCTTTCTCCGGATCCCATTGCTTTTTTTGCTACAGCTCCCTTAACGGATCTTTAATAAAATATAGATTTTTTATTCTTTTATTGAAAAGAACACAAATTATTCCTTAAACATGCAGATATGTTTGACAGATTTGCACCTTACCTTTAGGAAGTGGCAGTTTGTAAGGGGCAGTATCCTGAAACATTATTGGCCAACGACAGTGCAATAAGCCAATAGAATTTCAGGATATATATCGGCGAATGGAGTAAAGGCTTCTGGGAGTTGCAGTCAATAAGCCGTACTTTTCATTAGCCCCTAATTCAGTCAGTGCTCATTTAATTTTAATGGTTTAGTGAACTTTATATTTCATATGGTTTTGTTTATTTGTAGTGTTTTAAATTACGAACTGCAATGTTTATTATCTCTATCCATAAAAAACATGAACTGTGAAAACTAGAGGTGTAAAGTTATCCAATAAATATTGAGTTGTATGACTGAGCTTCAGTTATTTAAAATGACTTCCAAATACCTCCAACTAAGTATTGTTCACAAAGTGACTCTGGATGAATCTCTCATAAACAGTAACTAGATAAAACATCATTTGATTCTTGGTGTAATACAATGTCGACCAAAAAACATTTTGTAGCAACTCCAATCTTTTTTTTTTTTCCAACTCTGTACAGGTGAAAATGCATTGTTTTTATCACAATATTAACTGCTTTAAAGTCAATTTTGTAGATATATGAAATAAATAAGCTTTTTAAAACAAAAATCTGCTTGTACTCAGATAATTAATTTGGTATATTGTTGATTCCTGTACAACAAATTGCTCCTAATTTTTAAGTCGCTTCAAATACAAGTGAGCAACTTTTACTATCATTACTGAACATGAGATATTAGCCTCTTAACAACCCATAACTTAATATTTAAAGCATTCAACAAATGCATGACACAAAATATAATTCAGAGACCAGACAATGTTCTCCTTCAGGTATTGATTTATTCTCAAATGCCATCATACTCCTTCCACAAGGCATCATAAGCAAGTACTGTACATATAATAACATTCCCTGTTCTACAGACAAATCAGAAGGAGTAATGTTTCTATGAAGGAAAAGACAGATTTGAATGAGAGGAAGCTGCATTTTTGACTGCTTTAACTTTTGTGACAATGTGAATAGTAAGTGCACAGTAATCAATAATTACCTTCACTTTAATTATAGCGCAAATATTAACTGCAAGAGAGAATACTGAAAGAGGTCTGTCCATTATCCAGAACCGATTTCCATTCAGAATATCCAAAATTCCCACCTCTAATGTGGCACTTGATGCAGAATGTAACCATGCATGTTCCCTTAAATTCAACAGCAGAATTATAATACAATGCCTCAGGTAATTACAGTGTCATAAAGGCATTTCCTTCTATTGGCTAAATGTCTGTCACAACACTATACATGTTTAATTGAAGATTTCAAAGACCTCTCTGTAGGAAACTGACTTGAGATAAGATTATTTAACACGACACCATCATCACCATTGACGGTGCCATAGTAGGACTGTCCCAGAAGAAGTCAACTGAAGCAAGGACATGACAGTGTGACCTTTCAGTGGACAATGATTGTGAATGGAGTGCACAAAATAGAGGGCTTGTAAAGAACCATTATGATTGGCTGGGATTGAAGGGGGTCTAGGAGTCATTGACTGACATGTTCTCCACCTTGTTCTCTAGATCAGCATTACCACCCTGCGGTTTCTTCTTCTTCCCTCCTTCCTGCTGTTTCTTGTGCTTCTTGGTTGCCTCCTGGTCGATAGGGGCTGGCTTCACGAACTTGATCATTTCTGTTAAACCTGAGTAAAGAAACCATAATATTGACAGACAGCTGGTGGCTTCTCGTCAGAGAAAACATAGTCTACATATAATGAACATCTACCTAAAGGACCTACTCATAGCTCAAATCTTGTGATTTATGACTACTACTCCTACAGCACAACCAGTGTAGTCTGATTCCCAAACAAATTAATCATCTGAGCCAAAGAATGACTCTTATGAATTTGATCGTTGTAGTGAGTATAGTGACAGTTCAGCTAGTGTAATCCGATTCCAAAACGAATGACTCTTCTGAGCCGGTTCTTTATAGTGAATCAAAAACACAAAATGACCAATGTCGTCCAATTTCCAAATGAATGATTCTTATGAGTCAGGTGACAGGTCTTTTGAGCAAGCCAAAAACATTCAGTGTAACCAGTGTGGTCTGATTCCCGAAGGAAATGTATCTCATTTGTGTCAGTTCTTTTGAGCAAATGAAAAACTTGCAGCATGATACGTGTGGCCAAATTCCCAAAAGATTGACTCTTAGGAGTCGGTTATTTTTCAGAAAATCGAACACATACAGCACAACGAGGTTTGCCTTATATATCACTTCAATATATCGAATCAAAAACATACAGCACTAACACTAGGAAACATTCAAAAGAACCAGTATCGGAACATATCGAATAAGCTACCCCATCCCAAAACAAACAACTAGCACCTCTCAAGTCTTTTTCATGCATTTAGTATAAGATTGAACCAAACTTTACCAAACGATCCATATTTAGCGATCCTCACCTGGAGGCATGAATGCCTTGAGGGGTTCTGGAACAATGATGCCTTCCTCTGTCTGAAAGTTCTCCAGGATAGCACAGATAACACGAGTGGTCGCACACATGGTGGCATTTAGCATGTGCACAAACTCAGCCTTAAAGAGAACAAACACAATGACCAATGAAACCAGCTTGATACAGTAAATACAGATTACCCGGAATCCTTACTCAGAACTGTGGCGTAGAACTGTACCTTGTCCATCATTTTCTTGGTCTGCCCGTAGCGAATACGTAAGCGGCGAGCCTGGTAGTCTGTGCAGTTTGAGCATGACACAAGCTCTCTAAAAGCCTGGGAGCCTGGGAACCAAGCCTCTAAATCCAGCTTTTTACTAGCTGCATGGTTCAAAGCACCTGTGAAATAAAAGCAAACAATATATTTGAAGCTTTGTTATGGGATGCTGTGAAAAGCTTTTACTGATTTCCAAAAAAAGGCGCCCAATGGGGCTCTCAATGAAAATAAAGATTAATGTGAACAAACCTGACACAATGTTGACGATCCGGTAGGGGATTCCTAATGACTGATAAAACTCTTCAGCGGTTCCAATCATCTCATCAAACATCTCCCAGGACTTGCCGTCATAAGGAGAGGCGTAGACAAACTGCTCAATCTGGAAAGCGATGGAGAAAGATTATGATTTTGCTATTATACAGTTTGTTCTTCTCATTAATACCATTAATTTCTTCAAATTATTCACTTTCTGCAAAGCATGCTGATTTGGCTAGTGCTCTCTTTTTCTTGTAATGAAATAAAGTCATCTCAATAAACATATTTCATTGTTCATTCATTATTTCAGTGATGGAATAGTTTGGACCTTCTCAAACTGATGGACCCTGAAAATCCCACGCGTGTCTCTGCCATGAGAGCCCACTTCCTGTCTGAAGCAGGTGGAGATGCCGGCATAGCGGATGGGAAGGTCTTCTGGCTTCAGCCACTCGTCTCTCAGGAAGGCTGCCATTGGCTGCTCCGATGTGGCTATCAAATACTTCTCGTCCACCGTATTGTCGTCAGACTTCTCGCTCCCCTTCCCAATCACCTGAACAAACACATTACAGGAAACGCTGTAATTCTTTGCGGGTTCGGATTAGAGGCTGACATTTTTTCGGGAAACAAAATCACTATTAATCACGTGATTGGAACGGGACAGGAAAAAATGTCAGCGGGAGTGGGCGGGACCGGGAATCGTAAAAACACTATGATACACAACTTTATACACAAATATACCTTTTATATAAATTAACTATAAACTGTTTATTTTAATTTTGAACTCATTTCTAGTTCCGGTCTCTTTATGCTCTCCTCCTGTTTGCTCTGGTGTGGCTGGTTAAGTGAATGACGTACGCAGTCCGTGACGGACAGATTGTTAGCGGCTGGTCTGTGTGGTAGCCTAATATAGTACATCAGGCAGGACATCCAAATGGCCGACTATCATTCATCGACCTCAAATGTGGCTTTTCATCTGAAAGATGTATGTAGCAACAACTTTACATGGCCGCTCAATCTAATGTTCACCTAGAGAAATGTGTGCTATTCAAGTGTCTGTGTGGAAGCTGAACAGCAGCGCGCTCACTGCGGGACAGATGGAGGCGCCGGTGCACTCACTTGCTCATCATTTTTGGTCATACAGATAAAAGTAATACATCTTTTGAATCTGTAAAGACTACGTTTATTTGTGTGCACTCAGAATATCAACGAAACGTTGCGCTTCTGTAAAATAATTCAAGCAAACAGAATGTGCTTTCTGCCGTCTCGGTCTGTGAACTTGAGCGAGAAACTTCGAAACTCTGCGTATGAAAAATATATTTATAGAGAGTGAAATGTCTACTTTCAAATGAAACAAAATTCAAATAGAAAACGTTTGTGTTAGCATGCATGATTTACATGAAATTTAATGTGTGTGCCAGGGGCGATTCTAGGATTTTCATTTTAGGGGGACTCAGCCCCCAATGAGGGTATAATAATAAAAAAATAAATAAAATATTGTCTGACTAATAGGTTAGGGTGGTATACTAAACCTATTGCAGTATTCCACTGTATTGCATAAATTAGATTGGAAATAATATTTGAGTACTGAATAAACCAAATACAAGTCTTCCTGATCACAAACACACACACACACACACAGACAATTTTACTGTTTGCATTTCTAGTGCAAACCTCTTTCTATGCTCAAGTACTGTCTGTCACGGTCTTCAATCATTTCTGTGCAAGACTGTATGGTAGTTAATGCCACATGCACTGTAATATGTTTTATATTGAAAGTTCAATTTTCAAATGAAAATAGCAACATTTTATAAAGTATGCGTTCATATGTGTTAAGGTCTAACGTTACAGTTTCGCTGGAGGAAACAGCTGTGGTGTGATGAGGGGGTGAACACAGCGAAAACTTTACAGTAGATGGGAAACCGATTGCTCCCCATGACATTTTGTAAACTGTATTTATGACAAAGAACTTCACAGATGCAGATATAACAATCTACCGATAAACACACACCTTGTCCTCTGTTTCTTGCTCTGCGCCGTTGTGGTCAGCGGATTGAAGAACGTGCTGAAAGACGGGGAGGAGCCGAAGTCTGCCGCCGTTTTCATGAAATTTAAAGGAGACTGAGGCGATCATGAATTTGTGTACAGTTTATGGAGCTAACTGCTAATTACCTCTTTTAATTACCTCAATTGCTAATTGCCGTGAAAATGGCCTAGCAACACCCATTGTGTGTGCAATGCACACTGTGCATTGTTTAAGCTGGCTTTCAGTTCAATAAAATAACAAAAAAATACATTTTGGATTTTTATTCAACTAAAGTGGGCATACTGTGCTCTGTACTATATTTTTTTTACTGTAACTGACAGATTCTGGCAAAAAAACACAACACGGGAGTGGGAGGGAATGGGAGTCATTCTTCTGGGAATGGGACGGGACGGGATTTCCCCCCAGTTTTTTCATGGGATTGGGACAGTACGAGATTTTTTTTTTGTGGGAGTGGGACGGGAGAGGTTTGAAAATCCACTCCCGTGTCACCCAGTAGTTCGGATCAAGACTCTATAGAGGGTCTTCTACAGCAGCTGACCAACTGTCTGATTCATTTGAATGAATCTGTTTGTTTGAACACTTTATTTCAATGTACCAGATACAGGATTCCCACACCTTTATATACACACATATACAGCATATTATAATTTATTTTGTAATATAATTTGAAACATTAAATGCAAATATAAACATAATTTGTTAATATTTTAATCGTTTTTATTACAATATAAAATTTATGTTTATAACATAAAATAAATACAATTTGCAAAATAATATTCAATATAAAATAATATTTATATATATATAATTTATTTCATAAATCTTTCATTTGGTTTGATTAGTTGCATTAAGTGAAAATAGTTAAAAAAATAAATAAAATGTCAAATTAATGGCTAAATAAAGTAACAGATGTAGGTCAAACCTTGTAGAGCTCCTCGTCAAACTGGCTGAGCTGAGCGACCTCCTGCATGACTTCTTTCCTCATGAAGAAGGGTGTGTACAGGAGGGTGTAGCTCTTGCTGTACAGGATCCGCAGTGCGTAGTTAATTAATGCCTGTTCCAAAAAAACTAAAGGGCCCTGCAATTATAGAACATATCAGCCAAGAAATTTAAAAATGGGTGTTTAGGATTTTTTGGATTGTTTGTTTCGAAGAACTGTCAGCAGAGCGGGTTTAAATATTGTGAAAAAAGCTAAATGGGTCCAAAATGTTCAGGTTTACACAGAAGCAGTGCATTTAAAGAGCAACAAACCTTGAGGAAGTATCCTCTGCTGCCAGCCACGATGGCTCCTTTTTCCCCTTCGTATCCATCCACCATGACAACCAGATCCACGTGAGAGTACTTCTTCTGCACTGTGCAGTCGCCGCAGGTGCGTTCCACCTTATTATCAGCATCCTGGGAAAGAGAATCACCGCTTTATCCTAGTCTCCAGATGGAGAAGTTAAACAGCATCATTGTAGTATGGTTCATTTGCTCTTTTCTAATTCCATGAACGTTCCTTGGTGTTTGCAGGTTTGCAGGACCTGCGCAGTGTATTGTGTGAATCACCTCATCGTTGCTGATGGGCACAGAGGGATGCAGGAGGTTGCCGATCTCTCTCAGGTACTCAAAACGCTCCGCCTCGACCTTTAACCGATCACTGTCCGTTTTCTGCACCGCCTCGTCCACCAGTAACCGCACCTTCTTTATCTGAGTCACCGTGAGGGGCTGACAGGGACAGGATGAAGAAATACTGGTCACAGATGGATGTGGATGATGAGTTTGATAAGTTTAACTTAATATCAAAGCACTTTAATTCAAAAGATTTTTTCAAGGCTGCATTTATTTGATCAAAAATACAGTAAACAATGGTGATACTGTGAAATATTCTTACTATTTAAAATGTAATTTATTCTTGTGGTGGCAAAACTGAATTTGCAGCAGCCATTAATCCAGTCTTCAGTGTCACATGATCCTTTAGAAAATTATAAATGTCTTTACTGTCACTTTTGATCAATTTAATGTGTCGCTATTGCTTGACTCACTGATAATGTTTCTCCAGTGAGGGCTTCCAGATTCTGAGCCTCTTCTGGAAGAGTGTCATCATCACCAACTGGCTCTTTTTTCTGCAAAAACAGAGTAAATCATCATAAGACCAGCAAGCAGAATATTATTATTACTCAGTGATAACAGATTAAAACAAACATCTGACAGCTGATTTATGTACCTTCATCTTTTCCCCGATGGCTTTGCTGCACAGATTCTTGGCCTTGTTTAGATTATCTGCAGTGAAGCGGCCTGAAGGCAAAACAAGAGAAGTATTTCTAACATCAATGCATGCCACTGATATGCTGTCAAGTGGCCTGGCAAGAGTAATTATACTATCTTAAGTTTGGAAATCACCTAGAGAAGAAAAAAAGATTTTGGTAAATGAGTAAATGTGCTTTAGAGAGTAAATGTGGAATTATGCCAAATTAATTTAATTTTGTCTACTTTTCAGTAGTTGTATTTCTCTTAACATCAAGTATTACACCAACTAAGAAAATGTTGCCCAATGTTGTCCAATGCAACAATGTTCATATTAAAGGCTATGAAAACAAATATAGTGAATGTAACTATGTAGGCTTTGCAACATGTTATGTGCAAAAAAGGGTTAAAATCACATTACACTCTAAATGCAAATAAATGCTTTTCAAGCAGAAGTTAAATTCGCTAAACTAAAAACTAAAATAAATAAAAACAAAAGCACAGACTAATTCACTTTACAGTTACTGCTATTATAAAAACACACTTACTTGTAGGTTTAAAATTCTACATATGGCACATTCATTGTCCAACTACAAATATTTGAGCAAAATGTATATCTTAGTCTATTGTGCTCTTGTCTGTTTGGCGTGGCTCGTTCACTGAAGTCTGTGAAGTTTAGCGAGGCCTCGCATGTAGAAGACTCATCCACTCCTGACAGCAAAATGGAAATATTTCCATGACTTTCTAACATTCACAGATGGAGAATATACCTGTGATAAGTTCATTGAGGAAACCACCACATCTCAAATGCATTAAACAGCGCAAGTAGTAACTTTAGCTGCACAGTCACCCTTTCTGTCAGAGCATCTGACAGGGCAAGCCGATTTAAACTATACATGTTAGCTATATCTTACGAATTATTTTCTAAGCCTGCTATGTGCTCGCCTCGTATCAAATCACTGTATAGCGATATAAACGGTATTGCCTCATACCATATCGTTTACAAAAAATTTATTGATATATCATACAAACTTGATGCCCTAAATCGCACGGTATTACAATATATTGTATTTGCATACTTTCACTAGTAGAATAAGGAATACGATATAATATATTGTAATACAACACAATTTATTAATTGAAATAAAATATAAATATGAAATGAAATTTCAAGTCGCCATGAAACAAAAGTTGCAATAGTCTTTTCTTCCCTATTATGATGTATATCTGAGTAAAACAGATTCTTGAAAAAGACAAAAATGGGAAAAAAGGTCACCAGATAAGAGATGTAACTGCAAGAGGGAGGATTGCTACTTTGATTAAATATTACTATTAATATTTATAGCAACTGTATAATAATATACAATATTACTGCAATTTTACACACAAAAAAAAGGTCAATTTTGATTTCAGAAATAGAAATAAGTTTAAGTTAAAATTCTAAAATGACTAAAACTGAAATTAAAAAATATATAAAAAATAATAAATGTAAAAATAAAAAAACTTAAACCATTATATAAACAATTCTAATCTATTATAAAACAAAGATGACAATGTATACACATTTTGCAATTTAAAAAAAAATCCTTATTTCTCTATACTATAATAATTAGAATTGGCGGGGTGCTTAATTGTCATAAAAACGTAAAGGATTCATTTCATTTCTTCAAAAAAAATAATTTAGATTTTGTCCTGGACACGTTATTGCCAGCTTCCACAAAGAATCCCCCAAAAGCATAACAACCAGAGGAGCTATCTAAAGAACAAGCCCTTCACTGAAGGAGTACTTGCTTCTATATTATCCTCTTTACCTGTGATAAAGCATACCAAGCTCAAATCTTACTACTGAGACTTTTAGATGAATTTAAATGAATACTGAATGAAATTGGCAGCCGGTCATTCCCTAATACTTTGACTTTAGTTGAAGAACATGGTAAACACTGCCAGTCACACACAGCAGCAGCAGCAGCAGCAGCTCCTCCCGATTCACTGCCATAGAGATTGCATCAGATTCTGCCGGGCGATGCTACTGCGACACATTTCATCAATACATACGCAGAACTCTCCGAATAACATATGACATGAACATATATTAGGCTCAATAACACATACTAGTCTCATTAAATAAAGTAAAAAAAGGTTAAGCACGCTATGACAGCTGTTTTAACTATTAGCGTCAATGCAACATGCTAACTTACTCCAGTAACGTTACACCGGCATTGCGGTTTCTGAACATTTATACACATTAATATTAACGTTATCGTGTGCTATAGTGCAATTAGTGTGTATTTTCCTTTGTAGCGTTTTAATGTTTATGAACAGATATGTTATACGTGTCACAATCTGTTCTCATTCACAGGCTGCCATGCGTTTCAATAGCTTTAGCGTTAGCAGCTAAGTTACTCACATTTCCTCCATTCTGTGTCCGCCTCGACCAGTTTATCCACCAGAGACACATCTTTGAACCGTTTCCTCTGCGTTTCCCTCACGATTTCAGGATCGCCGCCTTTGTCGGTGCGAAACAGGTCTAAATCGAGCACCATGATGCCTGTGGACGACGCGTGCAGTGCGGATGAAGGAAAGAAGAATACGGAAAGTGTACTGTGGAGGGGAGGCGCTAGAGAGCAAGTGTTCATGAATATTCATCACGCCGCCGCGGCGAAGTTCTGAATCATACTACGGTTAAGCTAATGAATATTAATTAGTTTCCGACGTTGCTTGGCAACCTTCCAGGAGTGGTCCAGAGCTGTTGAGAAACAACGTTTCTTTTTTCCGTTGTTTCTCAACGGCTCTGGAGTAGTCAGGCGTAAGTTAATTAATATTCATGAGCCAAGCTTTCACCAGCGTGGCATTCATGCATTTAACTGTTGCAGGGACATCATCAATTTACTGCCTCTTATATATGGAGGACCAAACCTGCAGAAATTAAAAGTGAATAAATTAATAAATGAATAAATAAATATTTTACTGAATAAATAGATAAATAAATGTGATAATAGGAAAATAAATAAATGAATAAACGACTTGATAAAATAAATATGATTCATTTTTAATAGCATTCATTTTTTTTATTTTCCCCCTTAATTTATTATTTTCTACTTTTATACATTTTTGATTTCTGCAGGTTTGGTCCTCCATACTAATAGCATGATATTAAAATCATCCTATGTGTCAATAATGATATTTTATTATTTTGTTGTATTTTACTAGATAAAGTTGATAGGTTATGGTCAATAAAAGCCACTTTTTACTGACAGGTTTAGATCGGTCTAGCCTACATAAATATTTTATATGGCATATAATGACCAAATGCTCTATAAAGCAGTCCTGGGTAGATTACTTACTAATTGTAGCCCTTTACTGATTCCAAATTACATGACAAAATTGTAGTTAGTAATCCATTACATCACACAATTTAGGTATTTTTGATTACTTTTGACCTAACTTGTTTTTCACATTGATTTAACTAGGACAATCTTGTATCATATTGATATAAAAATACAAAGAAAAAGAAAATATGTTCCATTCACTGTTATAAACGACATGATGTGCATTAACCGTTTCATTATGACAAGTTTGTGAGTTTAATAAAAAGCGAATAATTAATTTAATAATAAAAATGTACAATTAAAATAAATCTTTTTAACATAATCAAAATAAAACACTTTTCTAAAAAGAAGAAATATTTTATTTGTTTACTTGCATGTCATGTGACCATTAAGCAACATGCAAATGTTTTACTTCAATATTAACTTATTAGTTTAAAAACTCAGGGGGGTACTTCAAGTAAATATACTAGGTGAAAGAGGTTAAGCTGACAAAAAGTCTGGCAATCCCTGCATTACATGTACGTAAGAAAGAACATGAATTTATACATTTTAATGTGTTTGAAAGACAAAAGCCTTCCAGAGACATACTGTAGTAATACAGGGTTAAACAACCCACTGAGTGATAATTCAAATAAAAATGAATGTGTTCATCAGTAGATGATGGAATGTTGAAATGTTGAGAAATTACTTCTTAAAATTGAAATGATTTTTGTAAAGCCGGTCAAATTTGTGTGAATGTCCACAAACCTGAAAGACTTTCTGAATGTATACAAGTGGTAGGCTATTTTAGAAAGCAACATTTAAACAATGAAATAGAAGAATTAGGGAGAATCATTAAATTATGAATAATTTATTGCTAATGTGTGAATAGCATGTACTCATATAATCAATAAAAAAGTATTTTTTTACCAATTTAAATTGATCCAACTCTGCAGTTAAGCTTAGCATATTCTTGTAGAAACAATCTGGTTATTGCTCCAATGGGATATTATGCTCCTGTGTGACTATTTACTGAAATAGTTCAATGGAAAACAATAGAAAGTGTAGCCCAAATTAAAAGATTTCATATTAAATTAACCTTAAGTATTATTTCACAATTCAATAAGGGTGAAAGTTTAAAAATAACACCTGCATTGGTTTTTATGTGTGTGTAACAGATTTATGTTACAAACTTATAGAATTGTACAGTAAGAAAGTTATTTCCTTTAACCAGGAAATTAACGTTCTTAGAATTGACAAGACGGTTGACCCTGAGTGGTCAGCTAAATATCTACAGTGGATCTAAAATATGAATAGTTAATTATAACTAGTTATGGTTAATTATTCATATTTCCCATGAGCTGATTCGCTACACGCTGAAACCTGAACTCATCCTTGTTGGTGTTGCCAAGTTTCTGAACAGCTTTGGCAAGATTTAACAAGATTTAGTGGCAATGGAATTTACGATTGGTTTACTGTATTGTGGAAAGATGGGGTTTAAATTATTTGCCAATGATCAAATGCAAGAGAAAGAATTTTATGTAATAAATTTGAAATTGTGTCTTGATACATTTCATACTCATAACTCGAGGCTTTCTAATAGGAGGTATTCTGTGTGAAGAGCCAGCTGTTTCAAATTGTACACCAATACAAAAACATCAGTCGGACAAAACAGCCCTAGATATTTACAAAAGCAATGAAAGTTTATTTGTAAAATGTCATGCATTCGTAGTTTCCTAAACAGTTTATGTAACGATTAATGCATTAGCTAGATGTGTTAATGCACTGCAAACTCACTAAGACACGGGTGTGTTTTTAATTGTGTCTGAATTTCCTTGCATTATAATAATATAAAGATTACGCATTATACAAATATAAAGAGCCTTGCATTATTATAGTGTAAGACCATGCACTGATGTTTAAAGATATTTTGTCTCAATAAAATGTAGTTATTTCCCTTCATGTTATACAAAGACAGATTGTTGCAAAGCAATACAATTGTGAGAAACTGGCATTACATACAATATAATAAAGGCAATTAAACTACACAATTTAATGTCATTTACAGCAATAAATCGAAAGTGTTTTCTTTTTCTATTTGCAGTGGAAGTGCATGCAATTATTAGGAATATTCACTGGAACATGATGTTTAACGTGCATGAACATAAGCATCAGAAGAAAAAAAAAAAAGCCAAATTAAATACACATTTATATGAAGAAAATCATTCACAGCATTCGGTAACCTCATATACTTCAGGATCCCTCTTATATCTTTTTCACAACAATCTAATGTGACCCAAGATGCAACTGAGGTAAAACTAGATGGTGCTTTTCCATGCAAAACTCTTATGTGTGTTCTGTATGTTGCTATGTGGTTACTAGGGTGTTCTGGGTACCTATATGATATTCCAGTCTGTAGCTATGTCTCAGATTCCTCATTCGTTGTACATTGATTTTGTACCTCCATTGACATTGTGGGATTTCGTTGTCCATTTTATGCTCTGGCATTCAAAAGATTTAAATCAGGAAAGTTAGCTAAGTACTAGCAGCTACCATGGAAGTCCTGGTGGAATCTGTCAGGAAAAATAAACCTACCTAAAGGACTGTTTCCAAATAACACACTTCCCTTTGTTTTGTCAGAATGGTGTGAGTCCATTAATTGATGCAGTTTTGAAGTCCTTATGAAATGATTGGAATTCCTATATGTTCCTCTTCAGTCGGCTCCTCAGAGAACTGCGCCGTGGCCTCCTGGATGGCCAGCTGTAGTGCAGCCCCAGCTGGGAGTTTACAATACCCACTTTCTGAAATGTTCTCCACCTGTAGGTAAACTCCAGGCTTCTGCAAAGCCACTCCGTGAAGATGGGAGAAGAGCAAGGGTAGGTCTTTAGTCAAGGTGTACCTTGAAGCGAGACCTAGTGCCGCTGGGATATCAGACTCTTGAGAGTACTCAAAAGTGGCCACCATGTATTTGGAGAGGTCTCGACCCAACGCTTTGGCATGGTACAGCTCCTCTCCGATCATGGAAACAATAGCCAAAGCAGTGTTCTCTAATGGTTCCTCATCCTCAGACTGCTTCTTCTGGTTCTGAAGGAGACCTTGTGAGCAGATGACCAACACAAAGTCGCACTTACTCAATCTCCTGCAATGCCACCCCATACTGCCCTCCTCCATAATACTCAAGGCCTCCCACAAGTCCAAATGCACCTGAACAGAAAAAGAAGAATTAACAATAAATGTAATTAGGAGATAAAGAGGCAAAATAACCTTGTATAGACATTATTTTTTAATGATTTCCATTAATTAAATTTTTTAAATGTGTCAATTTTATTTATTTCTATCATTCAGGGGTGTGTCTAGAGCATTTTAAATGGGGGGGGGGCGGGGCAGTCGGGGGCACTGGCTCAAAAGAGGGTGGTGGGGGCCACCCTCTTTGAATGAAGACTCACCTCGCAGGTGTAGTTTGTACCTGCTCGGAGATTCTGCAGTCGGTACGTGTGATGTGTCTTAAAAAGAGTGAAATCCACTCTTTTTCACAAAGAGCGACAGAGACAGAGCAGAGCCAATTCATAAAAGAACAATATTTAAAAGCACACGTCCAGTATTGTGTGAGTAAAGGAAATCCGCTTGGGAGTGGAGAGATTCGTCCTCGCGCACATGGATCGCGTGCCTACACATGCCAGGATCCGCCACAGCCAGATGCAGTTAGAAATTTACTAAAAACAAGCCTATCGCAAGACATCTGGTAGGGGGGGCACCTGGGGTGGCCAGCTAAATTTCAGGGGGGGCCGGTGCCACCTGTGGCCACCACGTAGACACGCCCCTGCTATCATTAAAATTATTTTATTCACTTTTAATATTTATGGACCAAAAAAAAACAAGACTATCGAAGTGTAGTACCATAGTGTATTCCCTCTCATAAATAACAAGGAAAATCTTACATTTTAACAAAAAAATTATTAAATCAAAACTTATAAATAAATAAAAATAAAACAAACAAAAACGAAAGCTAATTAATATAGCTTAATAATGAAAATGAAAACAGAAAATATATATAAAAAAAGGTATGAATTAGCTTTTAGTTTTTTTTAGTTTTTTACAAAACAAAACAACAACAAAGAAATAATACTATAATATTTATTAATCCATCCATTCTCCAAACCCCTTAGCCTCTGTAGGGTCACAGGGATGCAGGAGCCTAAATACTATAGTAATATTAAAAATAATACTAAAATTCACTTTTTCCTTAAATATTCAAAATAATGCATGACATCACTTTTCTACAACGTGCAGCAGATACATATCTATTAA